TTATTCATGGAAAAAAATCGATACAATCCTATTGCGAGATTTTTACACACGGCCTAGTTTTCCAAAAATTCCATACGAAACCTATTTCAGAAAATTCTGCTGGGAAAATTTGGTCATGAAAGGATGCCGCCATCTCTCCTCTTTCGAATGGCGAAAACAGGAGCTCTCTAGCTCTTTTCTATCAAAAGTTATTTAAACATTGTTCTCACCAATAGTTGTTACAACGGACGATAAAACCATAAATAAACCCAATAAATGCAACAGTTATCGATTGAATAATGACGAGAGCATTGGTAACTGCAGATACAAAAAAAATGAAAAAGCGGGTAAAACGGCGAGATTGTGTGCTATTTATATATCCATCCATGATAAATATTTTTTTATTTATACTTTAATAAATAGTCAATGTGTACGAAATGGAAGAGAAACGATAGGATAAGAGAAAAAAAGAAAAGAAAAACATGTTTGAATATTTGTTATAGCTAATATGACGCTAACAACTGAATAGTTTCAGTACAAACAAGTTTATGTTACTTTACAATCTTTTAACAATTTCTGCAGATGTTTTATATTCTTCTTTTCTAATCCAGATTTATCTGATTTTATAAGCAGTTTTAATGCTTTTAAAATACAATTATATGCCAATGTCTTGTCTTCATAATGACAATAAATACTACTCAATATATCATAAGTATACCATGTTAGATCTGCCTCTTTACTAACAAGATCTAATGATTTTGTACAATAAACTAATGCTTGATCATAATTCAAATTTTTATAATAAATATCACCAATACTCGCACAAATTTTTGAACAGGCTGCCTTTCGATTTGTACAATTTTCGAAAATTTTCAATGCTTTTAAATAGAATTTTATACTTAAATCAAATTGGCAATACTGCTTTGAATAATCAGCACATTCCCAATTTTAACTTTATCATCTAATTTTATTTCATCTTTTTCAATATTGTATAAAACTGATAAATCATATGCTTCTTTTAATGTGAAACATATGTTCATAAGGTATTTGAAGTGAGCAATTAAAATTCTATTAGGTAATATTTGTTGTTGTTCTAATTCTAGAATTTTATTATAATATTCAATAGCTAAATCGAATTCATATTTATTCCAAAATGAAAATCCAATTTCTTTATAAATTAATGTAAATACTGACCTATTATATACTAAATTTAGTACTAATGCTTTTCTATAATATAAAATACATAAATCATATTCGTTTAATTTATAATAGGACGAACCAAGAGCAAAATATAATTGGAAGATGTAAATTTTATCATTTAACTTCATATTTTCATGTATTTTTTCATTGGATAATAATGATACTGCTTTTGTCAAATATTCCACGGCCAATTTAAAACAGCACATTTTCATATATAAATCACTTTTTTCGAATTTGATAATGACATGATTATTCTGTGTCTGTAACTTCGCCCTTCGAGAAATAATCCGAAAGAGTAACGCATATTTCTGACAAATTAAGACACATGATTTATTTTACTTCAACAAGAAAATCTATTAAACCAAACAGAAACAATAGTATTCTCATTTCATGTAAAACAAAAACACTTGTTTTCTGAATGAAATTTATCACATGTGCCACTTTTGAACCCTTTGTTTCCATCTCTTGCACAGCATGACATACACAGAGAATTCGACGGTGGAGAGCGAGCACACCATTCTTCACAATCAGGATTTGGTTTCATGGAACAGTTGAGCTGACCTAAAAAATATGTTGATGTTTCATATTTTCAAAAAATATTCTAGTTTACCATACCGATCATCATAACTTGGAATAGAATGACGATTAATAGAACTGAAACTTTGAACTGCATTATTTAGACGAAGTGGAAAAAAACTGAATATAAAAAGTAAAAATGAGGCAGCAAGAAATCATTTATATAAAATCGCAGTCGATGTTTTTCAGTCCGTCCATCATAGCGAAAAAACAATTAAACTTCATATTTTTTAACATTCTCATATAATGATGAGTCTATGTAGACGTCAGTCACCAGCCAAAAAAAAAACATTTCTTCAAGTATAACTAGAAAAAAACACTGACTTGAAACCTTAGATACTGATAGATAACATTCGCTTTAAATAAGACATTCACTTGAAATTTTTTTTTCGAACGATGTATATGTAGGTCTTGATTAAAAATAAAGAACGGGAGAAAACGTCTATATATGAGTCGTCTATAGAATCTAATAGATTTCCCCTGTTTTTTATATATGTCATTCGACGTATCACATATAGGCGGCTCTCTGGTCAAAGATTGAATCAAACTGTACGGTCTAAAATCCTGGATGATGCATTTTCGGTATATTCGGTTTTAGCTGTGGAAAATAATCAATGTAGACCAAATCTCCAATGTTTGGGCGATTTCAAATTTCAATCTTGGACGAGATTCCAAATGAACGAGAAAACATTGTTTTACATGTTTAATATAAATGTTAATAAGATAAGAATGTTTCCGAAAAGTCATCGTTAAGTGTTTTCAATTGTAAATCAAAACCCTGCCTTTAATTTGACTCAACCTTTCACTAGAGAGTCACCTATATGTGATACATCGAATGACATATGTAAAGAGGTGCAGGGATCGGGCAAACTGTACCGAAGGTTTACCAAAAACTTTGTTTATTTCATCAAAAAAACATTTTCAGACAAAACTAACGATAAACTCGTAAGATCATATTAGGTATCAGTTCATCGAGCTGCATGGAAGCATATATGCCACAAATATTTTCAACTGAAAGATTATTTTCCACTGCTAAAACCGAATATCCTAAAAAACATCATTCTGGATTTTAGACCGTACTCATCCCGTGTTCAATTTGATTCAACCTTTGACCAGAGAGCCGCCTATATGTGATACGTCGAATGACATATATAAAAAACAGGGGAAATCTGTTAGACTCAAAGATGATTTGAAATCTATAAGACTCTACGATGAGGGTACATCCTAAATTTAAAATTTTATTTTGAAAAATTGGTTTTAAGACAAAAAAATAGTAGGGTTAAGAGTAGAATCATGTAACTTGTAACATACGATATCATTTGAGTCAACATTCTCAAATTCAACTTCGTCGCTTGGTTGTTCACTGTGACAAGTTCCAGTGGAGTCGAGAATTTGTTCCCTTGACTGTAAACGAAAGATGCTGTATCGAGTCAAAATGCCTCTATGTATGTACTCTGTGATCACATTTTTGTTCAACTATATCCACTATTTTCTCAAAAAGATGATGACAGAGAACAACATCTTACTTGTATTCTAGCCGGTACCCGCAAGTCTGCTCTCTATAACTCGATGCTCATGCGACAATATTATCGACAATTCAGAAAACGGTTGCTGATCTAAATCGAATGTCGATGAAACATCGAATACATGTTTGAGTAATTGTTGGAATCGTTGTGATATGCAGTCCATTGTTGTATCTTCGAATAAATTATTTGCATATTCAAACCCGAAATTAGTGTTTTGTTATTTAAATTGTATCTGATTTTCAATGTTATATTAATAGAAGAAATAAAAATGTTTGTCTGTCCACTTTCAGAAACTTGATTTTTCACTCCTCTAGTCTAGAGACTAAATAAAGCTTATTCCGAAACAAAACCTATTTCGGGTTCAATCTTGATCACTTTTCAATCAAAAATTAGTTTTTTCAGTTTCCGTCCTTTATGTTTTACGAAAGGAAAGATGAGAAGATGGCCATTTTGTAGCCCTTCAAAAGCTCTGTTAACTGACCATATTTGAAATTCTTCATAGTCACAAGCAGTTGCGGGAGAACTGTTTTCGTTTTTCGATGCCGCTACTGATCATTCAAAATCCAGCCAAAATACACCACTTTGAGATCGGATTTGTTTTATTCAGATTGTTTTCAATAACATTACGTTCATAAATAGACACGCACGGCGCCAATGTCCATCCGGAAACGAATGGATTCGAAGAAAATTATACTGGACTACATTAACTCATACAACTTGATGATAATTCTTTGCATTAGCATTTAACCTTGTAATGAGATTGGTTAACTCGCCTTGCGCGTCTTTAGCGTCGACAAAACGGAAACGGTGTTGGTTACCATCAAATCCTAGGAAGAGACAATAATTATTTAGGGTTTTAAATTCTCAAATTTTATAATTGAGCATCATAATGCATGATGAATCCGGTCTGAATAGATTGACGGTTTTTTATCATAAACAAACCTTTCCGAGAAATATATAACGGAAAACTAAAACACTCCAATCATGCTCCTAAAAGAACGGCGGCATATAAAATACAGAAAAAACTTGAAAAGAAACTACGAAAACACAAGTACACCTCTCGCTAGGTGCCACACGCACATACACACACACTTAAGTCAATAAAAACCATCCATAAAGAGCAGCCGTACCCATCCGCTAGTACTAACCCTAATAACAACGCAAAATCAAAGCACAAACACACACGTATCATCCACATCCCAAAACACTTAAGTCAGCTCACCAATCTCTGATAACTGTATCTCAAAAAGGAAAATGTACGCTTTACTAAAATATAGCTCGGTATAGAGTTGAACTCGTGTACTTCAAACTCTCATAAAAGCGAAGAGTGATCCATTCTAGTTCATTTTATTCTAATCTCTGAAGGTGGAAAAATACAGAATAATTTTATAGTGAGTGCAGCGAACATTTTGTGAGAATACAAAATTTATAGTTTTCCTATTTCATCGCATATTCTATTGCTGTGCGTATATAACAAAAATGACTAATTGAGAGTTGTTTGGTCCAATTACTCGAGCTAACCATACACACTTCACTAACCATGTACTGATTTTCCGGAAAGCCAGGAGGACTAGCCGGAGAAACCATTTTGTACGTCACAGCGTAGTACGTATGCTGTCAGACGGATGATCCGATGCATTAAGACATAAGTAACTTGTTCAAGGTTATTACTTAACTTTGCTAGCACCGAAGTTCGAACACAGTACGTTTGAATAATGGTCTATCTCTCAGTAAAAATAGAAAAAGAAAAACATAAGAGAAATTCATCTTTTCTGTTTATCAGTGAAATAAAAGATGTTAAATAAAACGATAACAGAAAAGTAAAACCATATCTCGCCACCTTACATTTCAATTTTTTCTTCGTTATCGAACAAGTGTTATGATATATAAATAAAAAGAGTTTTATACGAATAATCAAAAAAGGGACAATATCAAACTAACTACCATCTTTTTTTACTACCCTAACTGATCTGAAAAAGATGTAATTTAGACAAACAGAAAGGTGTGAGCAGCAACTTTCAAAGCAATAAAAATATTTTCATTTACATAGCATGCATCTTATTACGATTTCATCCCAAAAATGACTACTAAAACCGATGATTATTCTTTTTATCAAAAGTACGAGTGATCTGTCAATATAAAGATTTTGGTTGTCAAAAAAGTATTCTGCATCACCGATGTACCGCATTATATTCTACATATCCTCTAAAGTACGAGATAGGAATCTTATAATCCTATCTAGTTTTTTGTGTTAAGGGTTCAAGGCGTCATTTGTACGTTAGCAGATTCGCGAAAAGCTTGGTCTCGAAAGTTTTCGCTTTTTCATATTTTTCTTCTGTTGGTGGAAAAACTAATCTTTTATGAATCACACACGAAAAAGTCGGAATTCTAACCGTAATTCGCAATTTTTACGATTATAACTCAACGTTTGAGCAATAATAACATCATGGTCGAATCAGGCTGAAAACCTGAGTCGACTAATCTGTATTTCCATCATATCTGAATATTTTAATGTTTTTCGATTTTCATGTTGAAAAATTACCGAGATTTTTGCCTAGAACTGAAAATCAACTAAAAACTTCGAAATACATTTCATAAATAAAATTTCGATGGTTACAAGGAAAATTCTGTTATAGGCAACGCTAAGTGAGTAGCGCTGTTGAACTATATTGGCAAATGCTAGACGTTCTGCACGAAGCACAAAATATATTTGATTACTTTAATGTTGATCAAAGGAGAGCGCCCGCTTTTTGTTGATTTTGACCCACTGCTTTTCCGACCTAGTCATGATCACATTTTGTAGAGAAAACGATTTCACACATTTTGAAGTGCATTTGAATCATTACAACATCATGCACACTTTTTAAAACAACTTTTCTGAGGAGGTACATAAAGCATATCGATGCTTAACAAAAACGACTTTGTTCAAAAAGTAATATAAAGTTATGGTAAAGCTTGATATAGAAAAATAGCTAGTGGCGGAGCCACCAACAGGACTAGACTGGGCTGAGCCCTGCCCAGAAAGCTCCGCGCCCCGCCTAGACGGTTTTTTAAAATTTTTCCTGAAATTCAGCTTAAATTTATTAGCACTACTTCAGACCGAA